GCAGCCATAATATAACAGTGGCGCCATCTAGTATGGCTGGCATTGCCGTCAGGTGCCGCCAAGAAGATGTGTAGTTAGACTGTAGAAACCTAAGAATACATGTACATTTTCACCAAATCACGCTAGGGTACAAATATTTTATTTGCCATAAAAGTTTGTAAGGAAGCACTTCACCAAGGCTCACCACATACATTTCTGTAGCCATAAGTCCATAAACAACCAAACAATTACACGGCTCGACAAAATCCCAAGGAACCAAACCAACGTGTTCTGATGACTTTCGGGCCTTTACATTTTTATATCAAATTATGGTTTATTTAGTACCGGTTTGTTTTTACACATGACTTAAGTATCTTAGATCTGATTGTGAAAAGGTTTGTGTATCTTATAAACTGATTGATGCAGCTAAAATGTGGACCCAAAGGCTCCCACCTCCGACGCTCCCACGGCAACATGACCACCCATCTAAAAGCCGTACATCTGAGACGGATGTAGAACCTTGGATCATATCCATATCCTGGAGAAGTTTTTTGTATATGAAGTTTGACAGGCTTTACGCTGAAATCTGAGTCTAGTCAGGTTCAAATCTAGCCAGGTTGAATTTACTACATTATTTAATGCTATCTTAACCTGCTTCCGAGCATTAACCGAGCATTTAAATGCATTTAAGTATTTTTGAAACTGTGTTATTAATTAATGTGCCGGCTAGCATTACCAGCATTGTGTCTGATTTTCACCCTTTTTTGGGGGCATAAGTGGGTGGTAAAAAAGTTTGAAGTACACTTGTAAAATTGTGATTTCACAGCAATCTCGACAAAAACTGTGCTTTCATAGTCTCTGATATCCAAGCGCTCATCAAGACGGACTCGGCTATTGATGCTGATCAAGAATATATATGTATACTTGTTGGGGTCCGGACAAATACAATACAACCTATTTACTCTTCGAGAACTGGGTATAATGATGCGTGTGCAGACATATGTATGTACATCCTACAAATTACCTTTCCAAATCTGCAACACAGAATGAGGCATATGTGTTTTAGAGGTATATTAAGAGATACAGAGTTTATAGAGGTTTATATGAAACCAACTGTGCCACAGCCTAGAAACATTTAATTATAATGATGTACAAAGTGAGTTTAAAGTGCTCAGATGCTCAAAATTGTCTTGCGACAGAAAGTGCTACATATTTCGCTCTGTGCCCAGTATGGCCAAATTGCAAAAAAGTGCATGATCTCTGGGTACACTGTTTTTGTGTTTGTTTACAAAATGAAACAGGCAGGAGGAGTGTGTTATTTCAGAGTGGATATCGAGCTTGGAGGACAACAATGCATGGAGAGAGCACAGCATTATTGAATAAGTCCGTTCCGGTCGAACAAAAAACAGGGTTAATTTCTAATCGATTGGTAAAATCTGCACTGATTTTGTCGCAAGAAACTTTTTGTGCATCTGAGTACTGGGATGAACGAAAAGAACAAAAAGTGGATGAACGTTGTGAAATGCTGCTGAAGTAGCAGTGCTTTTTTAAATGCACTTGAAACATTGTGTATCATTGTTTCTTTACTCCTTATGGAGAATTCTCTCTGAGAACTCAGGCACTCAATGGGGGCGGACAGAAGGACAGACAAACAGAGAGACAGCTATTGATGTTGAACAAATTATTCACGTAATGAGGTCGGAAATGATTCCTTCTGTGGCTTCGTTACGCACAGCCCTTAGACCACAAATCCTTAACTCTTTGATTCCCGGGTATAAAAAGCAGACACAACACAGAATGGAGAGAGCAAATGGTGATATGTTTCATAATTATGTGTATTTATAAGCAGAAATTATAAAAATGGCCTTAAAAGCGATAATTCAATGGCTGTAAATCCTCTTTAAGGACATGCACGTGCCACTGCTGGTTGCTCAATTGTATATTCCAACTTTGTCGTAGTCCCTGTTGTCAATTTATTTTTTCAGTTTTCTTGGTGCCCAAACCAAACCAGTCGTGCTTGAAGTAGCCTTTCGGTAGCGGCAAGCAATTGTGGTGCAGTTCTATGGCGTCTTCTTCAATGTGCCACACCATGAAGCCGCGTCCACAATCGATTCGTTTATGCAATGCGAACTGAACGCGATCGCCGAAACGCGACTTGCATTTTCGGCATTCGAACACTCGATCCTGTCCATCAGCACGAAGGAACTTGCGTACGTTCCTTATTTCCTGTAGGCCCTGGAAATTACCCGCTATATCGGAGTGTATGAGGAATGTAGGTGTGTTGTCGACATCATCATGGCGGAGTAGATAGGGAACTGCGTAGAGTTCTTTGGTGCTGGCACAGACGCGGAAGCAATAAAAATTCGCTTGCACAGCATCCGGCAAGAGCCCAACATTGAATTTATGACTGGGACTCTGACAGATCTGGGCTAGGACTGTATCTATGTGTGCCCGATTATCGGTTCCAGTATCACAGTTCTTTACACGATACTGGAGAGGCAGCCTAGCGGTGGATCGCCACTGAACCGCTGCAGGACTAACATGACGTTTCACCGTCACTTTCATTCGTTTAATGTCGCAAGCCTCCAGGGGAACGCGCTGCTGCAGCAGTACATAATTGCTTATCTTCTCCAGCAACATGGAAAAGAGCATATCCACAGATTCCACAATGTCTAGGTGGTGTTCGACGCTCATCGCACTACTCTCGTAATACATTCTCTCCTTTTTCACGTTCACATAAAATCCAATGGTGACCTCCAACTTGTCGGCCCCAAAGCTAAGAAATCGCAGCAGTTGGGGCACTGCCTCCATTCCAGCCTCTAATAGGAAGTCATTCGTTCTGCCAGAGACGCTCCCATTGCATAGCATAAACGCTTCTATTCGCTCCGTCTCGATTCGCTTCAATAGCAGTCTTTCGACGAAACTCATTTTGATTTGGTGGCTCGTTCCGGCACCATAGTCATTATTCCAGTGCTGGCTGTAGGGCTCTCTGGTCTCCACACAACTCTTACAGGTGGGACAATCCGTTTGTAAATCGTTGATAAATCTTTGATGGTGGAAGACGCGTGAATCGCCAATTGTCTCGAAGATGAAGCGGGAGTAAGTTCGTCGCAGCATGGTTAGGATTTTACTGATGCTATGTTTAACTTCTTAAGGATTTATATATGTATGCTCTTAAGAAGTGAATCAGGCGGACTACTAAACGACATCTGCCAGCTGTGAATTGGTACTTAAATATGTGGATGGACAGGTATGGAACACCAAAAAGGGTACATCATAAAAAATCTTCATCTGAGGATCTCTAAACAGTCCTTGGGAACCAGGTGCATGTACCAATAGGGGCTAGCATGGCTATAAGTACCGACCGCTCTACACAATATTACCTACTTTGTCTCCTTAAAATGGTTGTACCTGTGCTCCGTGTGTACCGGAGTACCGGTTTCTCCGAACGGTGACCAAGAGGATTATCAAAAATACCTATACTTAAGCCCAGTACTCAGATGCGGAATTTTCTTGCGACACAATCAGGGATGATTGACGTATTAATGCAGTCGAACGAAAAATGATTATATGGATATTATAATTTATTAATCTTCGGTACTACGGGTACTTCGGACCCTTGTTTATTGCATTTCTGTCCCGCCGGAACGAACTTATTCGATAATGCTGTGCTCTCTGCATGCTTTGTTGTCCTCCAAGCTCGATATCCACTCTTGAATAACGCACTCCTCCTGCCTTCATACAAAATTTGAATTTTTAACGGATTACATTGTAAAAACCCTAGTACTCAGATAAAAAAAAAGGGGCCGCTAAAAAAATCAGGGATGATATTGGTATGGAACCGATAAGAAATTGTTGTGCGCACAAATTACTTTCTAGCAGATCGACAAAAAAACAGGCCGAAATAATCTAGAAAATCAGACGATAGTATTTTGTGGTATAAATATTATTTGTGTGGTATTCGTTGGTATGTTGCTAGCAGCTCGAAAAATAAAGATATATTTTAATTTCCGAGAGGAATCATAGTCATAGTATAGTCTCAATCAAATGGAGGCAGCAATGCCACTGAAGTTGAAAGATAAATGACCACCGTGTTTCTAAACGAGCTTCAGGCCATCAAACGGCAAAAGAGGAAACAAGTATTATGGATTAATGAGATTATATTGAATTTATTTACATTTCTAATTTGTTAAACTTATTTGAACGCCAGTATCTTCATGTTGCCAAGACACAGACCCGGCTGGGCTGTTAACAAAATGTTTTAAGTTGTTTTCCTTTTGGGACCAAGTACTGCTCCTCAGGGTCGTGCCAGGGGGCGAAGGCGGCGATTTGGACTCAAAACTATCCAATTTTGAATAGGTGCTTGGAGGCGCCGTTTTACAACTTTGCAACGTCCGCAAATATTCCTTGGAACGGCTTTGCTGCTCCACCAATCAAAGAAGTCTGCAGATGTTATTCCCAGCCATATGCAAATTCTCTGTCATATTTTTCAATCTGCGGAATATGCAAAGGGTATCATTTCATGGGTTTCCATAAATGTACACATATTTATATGATTTATAATACTGTATAGACAACGGCCGTCCTGGTTTCTTTCCTGCAGATACGTGTTTAATCAATGTTGTCAGCGCTTATTTCGTTGATTGTCCTCCTCCTCAGAGCATGCAAGAGGCGCCAATTACAAAAAAGCAATCTGCTGCATGCATCCATTTTGCATTAATTGTTTTAAAACCTTTTATTCAATATTCACACATTTTCAAAAAGGTAAACAAAACAACACAGCTGCCTGAGAAGTGTAACCGTACGGAATGCGGTTTTCACCTCTGGTCTCACTCTGCTGCTAGCAAAATATATTGCACATTTTGCCAGCAAGTTTTTTTTCGATTTGAGTACTAGACTTAAGCAAACAATAATCAGTGTACCCAGAGATCATGCACTTTTCGCACTTTTGCGCAGCTGAGTACTGGTCTTAAGCTTAGAAACTTACTTTTGCTCTCAATAGTGGAATGATGGGTTTTCAGCCCTAGTCGATGGCTATCGACTATATCGATTGTAGTCCACCTCTATTGTGAGTTGTAGACAAATTTTGTTGACAAAAAACCGCCATGAATCCATTGGATAAAATACATGCTCTAGACGAGATAGAGAAAGAAATCATTCTCTGCATGCAGAGTGCGGGTAAATAGCCAGCCGGCGGCTATAAGTATACCCAGCTTATCATCATGTCTTTGCAGGGCAAGCTCTGCAGGAACTTGGCAAAGAGAAGTCGTCGCAAAAGAATGCCGAAACGCAGTCGCAGCAATTTCTCAAGAGTTTGTCCAGTGTCGAATCGAAACTTTCGGAACAAATAAACTACCTTACACAAGTGTCCACCGGACAGCCTCACGAGGGCTCTGGCTACGCTTCAGCCAAGGTGCTTCAAATGGCCTGGCACCGCATCCAGCACGCCCGTTCGCGAGTCCGTGAGCTGGAGGAGACGAAGGCCAAGCATTCGCACGCCGCAAGGCAACAGCAGAAGCGGCAGCAAGAACATGCCGCCGCCCAGCAGCAACAGCAGCAGGCTGCAGCAGCCGTTGCCCAGCAGCAGCAACAACAGCAACAGGCAGGTGGCGGAGTGGGTGTCTCATCGGGTGGCGACTCTAGTGGAGTTGGTGGCGATGCATCGGCTGGAATGTCCACTAACTGAACATACATGAACAATTCTAGGATAAAGTGGGAATGCAAGTACTCCAAGGCTAGTTGGGAGGACCAGAAACCAGATCGGGCATTTCTCTGATTTCACTCATAAGGAGTATAATTATATTAAGTAAGTGTGTTACACACACATCAACTCTGAGCATTTTATTGAATACAATTTAGAAATTAGAAAAATGTGTAAATGCTGCTGCGCGTGTCCGCTTTCAGTTTCAATGAAGAAGTTCGCCATATGGAATGTGATTTTTGGCCTACTCTCGATAAACTGGTCATATAGAATAATGTCGACGTCAGGTAAATATTGGTAATGCAGACATACCCAACCCGACTTGAATAATCTTGGGCATGCTTCCAAAGGCGAACATTTTTTTAAGGCTGGATGTGTGCACATGGTTGGCTCGGTTTTGCTGATCATTTCGGGAATATTGATCCGCGTTGGCATTTTAAAAGTGAGAATTGAACTTTCACTACCGACAATGGTAGCTTAATTACATTTAAAGATATGTACCCTCAGGAAAGGAAGGCTATTTACTGTGTTGGGCTCGGCTTGACCAATTTTGGCCCAATTGTCATGAGCTACTTTATGTTTCCGATTGGTAAGTTTGTTACCTTGCCACCAAATGGGTTTCCTTCTGCATTAATATGGCTTTTAGTTATACAGATGGTATTTCTCATAAAGGGCATTGCCTTTTACAAGAAATGGAATGAAGAATTTTTATAATGTTAGAAAGCCAACCTCACGGAAAGAAATGTTTCCAGCGTGATATTTTGTTGTTATATTCTACTAGATAGTCCAAAACAAAGAAACTTAAACTCGATGCCCTCTGCTTAACAAAAGCACTTGTAGGCAGAATAAGAATAATAATTACATCTGACTAGGCAAAGTTATTCCCCTTTCTGTATCCTCACTGGTGCTTGCTCCGATGCCAAAGAATTGGTTCTCGCACACATAGCGTACGCACTGCAGCAGGACATTGCGCTCATGCCGAATATCGGAGGCCAACAACTTGGAGAGCATTGTGTTAGGTTTTGTAGTTTTACGAGCTCGCTTGTAGTTGAGGCCAGAAATACGCTTCTGTGCCTTCGCAGCCGTTGGTTTTGGGGAGGGTCGAGGTTTCGGTGTTATGAATTCAGTTTGGTGTATAGCCGTCTCGGTTATTGATTCGATTACACGTTGAATGGGCGCTTCATCGGGTGCGTCATCAGAAGAGCAGTCATTTTCCTTGATCAGATCCTCAAAACTCATGGGAAACTCCTCGACAGTTTCTAATGAGTTCATTTGGACAACTGTATTTGGGACTAACGGATCATCCCTTGAAATTTCATTCTTCACAGTGCTGCACTCTGTCTCCCGTTGGGGACTTCTCTGCCCCTGCCATTGCTTGTTTTCCTCAGACTCAATCTCGCTGTCTTCACTACCCGAGCCATACATTCCCAAGAGGCCACAAAGAGCATTTTCACTCTTCTTTCCGTTGACTTTGGAATGCTCGTAGTTCACCATCTGTCCCGTTCCACGAAACATGGGCACGCCAGTTCCACTTATATAGGAAGTGTCCTCTTCTAAGGCATCTGCATTCTGACGAATGCTTTCTTCAACATTCTTCTGGCTCTTGCCTTTAGCCTTTTTGCTAGACCTGGGTCGCTTTTCTTGAGAGTTGTTGGGTCGCGTGCGCTGTCGATCTTCGCGTCTGCCAAATCGAGATTTTGAAGCCTCCAAGCGCTCTCCACGTTTCAGTCGTTGTTCCTTGGCCCGCTTGGCCAGCTCCACATTCGCAGCCGTGGGAAATCTGTAAACGTCGAGTTAGTTTCTTTCCCATAAAAATCAAGATTTATCAAGCACTTACTTTTTTCTGCGCTCTGCCTTCCAGGCAGCTGTGTCTTCCGGGGTCCATAACTTTTTCACTTTCTGATACACCCCAGTTATGTGGTTAGCTTCAATATGATGCTCCACGATGTTGTGCAGGGCGGCAAAGTCGCAACCTTCTGCAGGACATGTCTCATGCTGCTCCAAGTGTCTCCTCATGTCCTGAGCGTTTGCCAATTCCATGCCACAGTTGTGGCAGTGCTCGGGGCGAGGCGGGGACTTGTAAACTGGTGGAGCTTGTGGCAAGGGAGTAATCGTGCTCTAAATTGGATTCAAATATTATTCTCCATGATCTGAAAACAGCATTATATCGAACCTGCTCCAAATATTTGGCTGGAACTGTGCTGCCTCGTGCGCCGTACATCGGCGGGGGCTGCTTGGCGCGTGGCAGCAGTGTCATCCCACTGGGCGTCAAGTAGTGCATCGTTGTCCTGTTTGCTTCATTTTTAGCCGTTGCGAATTTAGGAGACGGCAGAACGAATCTTGGCGAGACTTTTTCATCCATTTTTGAGCGTGGAGTACTGTGAGTGTGTCCGCGGACTTACCGCCTGCCCCTCAGAAATCTACCAGAATATACTTTTTTATCTTCAAAAAATATTGAGGAAAATCATATAATATTTCTAATTTAGGCGCGATCACCAGGATAACTTGATCACCGATCCGTGGTCAATTTCCTGTGATTTTCCTGTTGAACGCACTTGATCAGCGTTTTTTATTCGAGTATTTATGCAAGACAAATTACACTACTCGACAAAATCGAACTTTTTTCCGTTTCGAACCAAACCGACTTTTTCTGATAGACTGAGAGATTTAAAATTGTTTAAAGAATTATGGTTTTTTTCTAGGTCCGATTGACGTAACATTCCATTCCCACCCACGGAACCTGTAATGCAATTTTTTTGGTTCAATTTATTCGCTTTAACCTAATTTTGCAATCAATCGGATAAAGAAAAGTCATGAAAATCAGCCAACCTTGTGGAGATTCGGTTGATAAATCGAATAAAATTATTCAAATAAGGCTCCTCACTAGCTCGTAATATTAAACAGTAGATTAAAGATTATTTAAGATTTACGGTATATTTACAGTATATTTTGAAAATAAAAAGGTTTACTTCGGTATATTTCCGAGGGTCTGTAGGTATCGATAATTCCGATACACTGCACGTCACACTACATTTTTGTTAATGTTTTAATTGTTTATAAATTAGTGAACAAAGAAAATACTCATCCAGCCCAGGAGAATGCAAAGCGTCCTCAACACCGTGAAGGGCACAGCCCTAAACGTGGCCGAATATTTAACGCCAGTGCTAAAGGTATTGTTGCTTTTCTATTTGTTGTTACGCTGCAACGGAGAATGGAATCTCTGATGGATCAAAAATCGGTTGCGAATCATAAACATACGAATAGATATGGAATAGCATACTGGACAACATAGGGGGTTTTGTCTTCATTATTGATTGCCCCTTTCCAGCCATCCCCATTTGTAAGAATCGACTGGCGTCCAACTGGCAACGCATACATACATACATATGTACTTCCATCAATTAAACACGCCCCCACTATTCCCATTAATTTCAATTAATTACAGGAGTCAAAATTTCGCGAAACTGGCGTTCTAACGCCCGAGGAGTTTGTGGCAGCGGGCGATCACCTGGTCCACCATTGCCCCACCTGGCAGTGGGCTGCTGGGGATGAGACGAAAACCAAACCTTACTTACCGAAGGGTGAGTAATGCGAATCGTCGATAATAACTGATCCGATTTATAAATTAAGCCAACTACGCCCGCAGATAAGCAATTCCTGATAACTCGTAACGTGCCATGCTATCGACGATGCAAGCAAATGGAATATGTGGGCGAGGAGACGCTTGTGGAGGAAGAGTCCGGGGACGGTGGCTGGGTGGAGACACACCAGCTAAACGATGACGGCACCACGCAGCTAGAGGAGAAAATTTGCGAACTGACAATGGACGAGACGAAGGTGAGTGCCAGCGATTCTTTTCTGAAGAGGCCTCTAAGCCACAGTCGTTCCTGTAGGATGAGATGCATACTCCAGATAGCGACAAGTCGGCCCCAGGCGATGCTGTTGATGGCGAGGATGAGGACGATGACGAGGCTATTGACATGGATGCCTTCGAGGAGAGCGGCATGCTGGACCTAGTGGACCCAGCCGTAGCAACCACTACACGAAAGCTTGAAGTGGAGGCAAAAGCCAGTCCAGCCGTTGCTGCCGCCACGACAGAGGCCTTTGGTGATTCTGTCCTCCACACGCGTACCTATGATCTTCACATCAGCTACGACAAATACTATCAGACGCCACGTCTCTGGGTCGTGGGCTATGACGAGCAGCGCAAGCCGCTCACCGTGGAGCAAATGTACGAGGACGTCTCGCAGGATCATGCGAAAAAGACTGTCACTATGGAATCGCATCCGCATTTGCCGGGGCCTAATATGGCCTCTGTGCACCCATGCCGCCACGCCGACATCATGAAGAAGATTATCCAGACAGTCGAGGAGGGCGGGGGTCAGCTGGGCGTGCATTTATACTTGATTATATTTCTGAAGTTCGTTCAGACCGTAATACCCACCATCGAATACGACTTTACGCAAAACTTTAACATGTCCTAAGACCTGCAGGAGGCATCTGCTATTGGGGCAGCAAATGTAGAACCTAGAAATACGCAACATTGAAAATCAACGAAGGAGTAGATGGTCGAATAAAGCTTTGTGCAAACACAACCACAACTATATGATATTCAATATTTGGACTTATTAATCGACACAAATAGGCCATCACTTTATAATTAGTTTTTATTACACTTTGCTCTTGTTGTTGGTTGGTTGGTTTGTTGCTTGGTTGCATGTTTGAAGCATCTCTGAGATGAAATTGTATGTTAACACAATAATAAAGCATATTAAATAAGTAAATTCATTAAATATGCAAGTAGTTTTAGGTAGTTTGTTTCTGGTTAAATAATTTCCATTGTTCTTGTTTAGTTTTTGAACAATTTTTCGAACTTAAAATATCTCTGTGTGTGTATGTGTGTGTGTTGCTTGACTTTATATTAATCTTAAATTTATATATATGTATAACTGTTAAATCCTTCATTTTTTTGTTAATTTTTCTTGGGTTTTTTGTAGATATATGTATGTATATGTGTGTACATACATGTATAGATTTCCTTAACAGTTAAAATCACTTTTCATTTGCAATAACAGGTTCACATCGTAATCAATTTTACAATAAACATACCAAACGCCATACAATTCTAAATATGTCTGAATCGATCCGTTCGCTCTTCATCGTCCACTAAGGTGTGGTGTGTTTTTTCAACTACTCTAGACATTACGTTAGACGTTAACAATTTTGTCCGTGTACCTTTATTCCTTTACATACATATCTGTAACGGCTGCATTATCCTATGCCTAACCTGACATATTCTGCCATTTTGCATTGCCAGCTTTTACAGTGTTTACCCACATTTTTTTTATTTTAGTTTTCCTTTTTTACATTTTATAATACATACAGTAGTTAAACATACCAGCTTAAACCTAAATACATATTATATACATATATACCCAGACAGGCCTATGTACTGTGTAGATGACGTCGTCTCTGCTCTGTTCTTTTCTCCACGGACTATAATGTAACAACATACATAACAATCATAAAATTTATCTCAACATCAGCCTTCTCCTGATTTGTTCTACATCTTTAACGATTTTTTGAAATTACCTTTTTTACTTGTGTATTTAAATACATAAATAAATGAAGATAGAATATGCTGCAATTGAATTCGAAGTTTGAGTGTCTGTGTGTTGTTTAATAATATTTTTCTCTTTACCGCATTTTGAATTTAAAAACTGTTTAATGTTATAAGGTACGTTTTGTATAAGCGCAATGCCTGGAAAACAATTGGGGCAATGTTTTGGGACGAATGTGAAAGGATCCAAGGGGCTAAACAATCTAAAAGTATATACAAAAATGTTTACAAAAATATATGTTGTGTGTTTAAATTTAAATGAAATAATCGTTACTTAATATTCGATTTAAGAGCGGTTTCAATCAAAATGTTATCTTTAAAAACATTTTATTTGGATTTATATTTCGATTTATGTGTGATTCGATTTTGGTTTCGCCTCATTGCCCCAACTCTTGGATAAGCATATCTTCCATTGATTTGTAAAATGTTGTTTAACTTTTGTGTACTTTATTTTTACCATTTTTTCCGTTTTTTGTTGAAACTAATTTAGCATTTGTTTTCTTGATTTGCACAAAATATATTATAATTATTATAGTTACAAGCTTTACACTGAAATAATGGAGTTACACTTTCTCTAAAATTTACAAACTGTTGAAACTTGCAGCTAACTTTAAATATTTTGTAGGTGTGTGGTGTGGGTGTGTTTTGTGTTGCATATTTACTACATAGTTTTAAACATGATGGTTTTTATCATTTATATAATTTCTTGCTCATCCTCGTTCTATATCTTCGTTTTGTAGGTAGTTGTTTGCATTGGTTTCTTAGATCTAAGTGGAGTTACGTTACATTTATCGTATAGTATTGTACATATACATACACCTCTACAGTATGCTGTGTTTTATGAACACCTAAATTTGCTTTGCTTTCGAATTTCTTTGTATGGATTTCCCTTTAGATTAGACGCAAATACTATGCAAGACACTTGGCGCAAAAGTTACAGGATTCAAAATACAGGTGCAAACGAAAAGGGAAACGATAACAGTTTTTATAGAAACTTAACTAAAAACCGAAATAGTTGTAAAAGTTACACGATTAAAAAGTGGGACACGACGCTTAAAAGTTACGCCAATTTACATACAAGTGTATATATTTATATATGTACATGTTCTTACATGTATGTATATAGATATATATTGGTATGTATGTATATATATGTATATATATTTAGATAGGTGTGTATAAAAATAAAATTTGTTATGATTCTCTTGCTTTTGCTTTTGTTTTTGTTTTTGTTTTCGTTAATTCCTAAAGAAGTTGGATTTATTTTCCTCTTCCTCTGTTGCTCTATAGATCCATACATAAATCGTATAGTGTTTCTTCATTAGAGGGACTTAAAATAAAACACGCATTAATTTAAGACAAATTAATTAATTAGTTAAACGTAAACGTAATCTAGACCTAGCCATAAACATAATAATAATTAACATTGAATCAACAAATGTGTATGTGTGGTGTGTGTATTGGTGTGATTGATAGTTGGTGGTAGTAGTGATGATGCATTCTCCATATAGTACACTCTACATGGAATTCTCGTTCTCTCCTCTCTCCTCCTGCTGCTCCGCATACGCATAGCATTCGAAATTTCTACATTGAGGGGTCTCGCCTCTGCTCTGCCTCTGCCTCTGCCTCTGCCTCTGGGTGTTGCATCCCATTTTCCTGCCTTGTTATTTACATTTCATAAATGATTTAAGTATTCCATATAGTGCTCCACGTGGCCCTACACCTTCCGCTTGGCGTGCAGCATCTCCATGAGCAGAGTCTGGGTGGGTGCATTGCCATCACAGTGTTTG